ATTCAGCAGAATATTGCAGTTATTCGTTTTATCCGTACTATACACAACACAAATTTTGGGGTCACAGCAGATCATTCGTTGGTCAATGTCAGTGTTATTACGACGCCTTGCCAAAAACACAAGGCCTCGAAAAACACACTTCGATCTTCCAAATTTAATTTGCAAAATCTCGTTTGAGAAAGAAAATTTATTCATTTATAAATTAGACGCACACCAAATTATGTTCGTGGCAAATTCGCCAATTTGTAAAGATGCGCACGTAACTCATCTGCGAACAAAAGGCATCGATTTTAGATATGTTGCTATGGCATTAGTGTGGGATCCCATCGTCATTATCAAAATGCAAAGTAGCGCATCAAATTTTGGTTTTTTAACGCTAGTCTCAAGGTGCCCGTAGCTAATTTTGGTACCTGCCTATTTTTAAATATATGCTAACTATGCGGCTCTTCCAAGCACTATTAGAGACATTTGCAATTCGATATAATAAAGTTAGGCCGTGGTGCTAATTTTTTTTATCAACTTTTTGTCAACGTTGAACCGTATTTTGTATTAAACAAGCTATGACAAATAACGTGACCATGAAGTTGTGCATAACAATGCAACTGAATCGTATGACGTAAAATAAAGCAATAAGAAGAAACTCCTTAAGAAGTGACAGAAACGTTTCGCATTATACAATGAAAGGGACGAAAGTTCCGCAAAAAAATAAAAACATTTTTGTGCAAAAGGTATATTCGTTGCAGTTGCAGCAAATTTGGTGCTTGCGCAACAAATATAAATTTATTATCACACAAATAACATTTCCTTGCATTCAAATTATATTTGCAAAACCTATAATATAAGTTTGTTTAATGTACATATTTTTTAATTAGTTTTCAGAACTGAGAAATAGATAGTTTAACCAAAGATCATCAAAACTGTATTGGTTTAATTCACCATTACTGGATTAAAACTTTTATTATTGAACAACTAAATGATAAGATTGAAATTTTTAATTAAATAAGTAGTATTTGGTTTTTACACTAACTAAGCAACGTTAAGAAGTCACAGGGGCCCATTAGATTTCGCAGTAGGAATATAAAATAAACATATTTTTTTATTCCATACGTTATTTTTTAGATTTAGTTCAGAAGAATGATATGGGTAGTCTAATTCAATCCCCTCCACACATTTTAAAAACGGTTAAAAATATTCTGTTTTTATAACAGTAAAACTTCCATAATATTTTATTGTTCTATCTTTTTTCATTTTTAATGTAAAGAAATAAAAACATTATGTTCCGCCATAGTTGTAGCGCGATATGTCGCTAATGGTTGGCTTTTGAAGCAACGTTAATAAAACAAATTATCCCTTATTTTAAACGTCAAATCATACTCTTAAGTTTTTCTCATTTGGTTTGTACCACCCAGTATATTTGGAACATGTTTTTTGTTGGCTCTTAGAAGAGCTGGAACAACCAATATTCACTGTCCCTTCGCAAAGACATTTGTCAGGAAGCTTGATCTGTAATTTCAGTGAGGCTGACGATCTGTTTGTGCAAAGCTGAAAATTTAGCCTTGACACTCTCGTTATATGTGACTCAAGGTCTAAACGGACCGTTTGACCGGGTTTCGAAGCGGACCGTGAAATGAAAATCTAAATTTCAAACCAAACGGCGGTTGGTTCTAAAACGACTACAATCTAAATTACGATCTAAATACCACACGAATCTAATTATGATCACGAAGTAAGTGACGTAGGTATGTTAATATTATGTAGGTACAGATTAAAAAATGGATTTTTAACGATTTTACAATTGTGTGACGATAGTTATTGCGCGACTGACGTCAATCATATTATTCTACTGCTTAATTTGCCTGCCTACTAGCTATCTCCACGGAGCTGAGCTACGATGATGATGTTTAAATGGATTAAAATTACGTTTTAATTGAAAGCGGTTAAAAATAAAGTTATTTGAATGTCAAGTTCTATGAAAAATTTAGGGTTCAGCAAACGAACAACTTTAAGGTAAATTGTATTAGTTGTCACATGTAAAATGTCAGTATAAAAATGTGAAAAATTTAGGGTTGAGCAAACGAGCAACTTTAAGGTAAATTATATTAGTTGTCACATGTAAAATGTCAGTATAAAAATTGAGTGAAGGAGTAAATGTGCGTTAGTTAAATAGTAATAATAAAATAATAAAATTTGCCGCGAAAATTTTATATACATTTTTCTGATTCCGATTATATTAAAATTAAAAACAAAGAGTAAATATACAAAACAAGGAAGAGTGGAGTGAGGAGTGTTGCCTGAATACAAATGGTTGCCATGGCAACAATGTAATGAAATAAAAATAATAATATAAAAAGTGAAATTATTCAAACTTGACCTTTGCAAAGATAATGCAAACCATACAGATAGATACGAAGTCCTAAACATATGCAACAAAATTCAACAAAGTAATTTGCTCTATGTGATAGCATTAGAAGAGAAAATAAAATTTAAGAGGCTAAATCAGAAAAGGTGACCAAATATTATCATATTAACTAATCTGATCAACCACATCTTTACGGTTGATGTTTATCCGCCTTACTTCATACTCCATTATTGAAAAGCGGTAATAAACATAAGATGACAAACCACTGTCTAACTATATAGTAGCGAGAGTTTTCTAAAAAGTATGAAAATTGTAAGTAACAATATTCTTCAGGAAATTTTAAATAGTTTTTGAAAATCAGTATGGCTTTCGAAAAAATTGAAACACGCAATACATTAACAGTAAATTTCTAACAAAAGAAAAAAGTTTTAGTAAGTTTAGTAGACCTCAAATTCAACTTGTGGTTTGATAAGCCATTTCTAGTCCTTTACAACGAAAATCCTTTGAAAACCAAGCACATTTGTTATTGTTAGACAAATGATTAACTATTGTTTAGTCTTGTATGTTCTTAGTTTTTGTTAGTTTTTATATTTTTGTTTTCATTATCCAATTATTAATTTATTTCTTATCTAATCTTATACATAATATCGTGGATACTAAGTTTCCCAGTTCAAAATATCGTATTGCCGTCGAAAAACTATGTTTTTATTTAGAGAAATATGTATGTGTTCTAGAGTCTAGAGGGTCTATGCGATATGAAACAACGGAATTTTCCGCGATTCCGTTGCGATAAGCGTAGAAATTACGTTTAAAAAGTTTATTATTTGTTCGCAGTAAAATCGAGTGTAAATGTGAAACGTTCACGCTCAAATTGAAAACCAATTAGAATAAGTGAACTTGAAGCAACCCAAATATTTTCGTAATTCACAAGAAAATGTTCAATATCATCTATTTTCTTTGCATATTTTTTCATTGACCGCTAAAGGGACTAAGATAAAAGCGAAACATTATTCATCTATCGCAAACTATTTCATATAAACCAAACAATCTTGAATCATTTAATCTTCGTTACCACAAAAATTAACTCAAAAACAACTAAAATTTTTAATGCAATTAGACTTTCGGTGAGTAACCGGAAACAATTTTAAAAATGAACTGACAAACCAGCTTATATGCCAACCGGCTGGAATACAAGCCCAATTAAAATTACAAGCAATTAACCGTAATTGTGGAACAATTATCGCAATAAAAATGGTCAAAAGAGTAGTCTCTCACCAGGAAGTGGCACCCTTCGCAGCTAAAACTGCAGGTCAAACTAATGCAACATAAAATTTGCGCCGTTAGCTGTTCTTTGATAGACGTAATTAATGCGGCAATTAAATCGGCAGACAAAATAACGTTTCCCTTGTTAATCGACATTTAAAGTAATCCGGTGTAAACAAATAGCAAATATTTGTCTATTTAATGTTATCGTACTGCGTTGCTGTTGCCGCTCGTGAAAATGTGTCCCTCTAAGTAATAATGTTTTCATTGATTTTTATTGAACAACAGAATAAAAGAACGTTATTTCAAAAAATTATATTTCAAAATAAAAATTAGACAGATTTTACATACTACTCTCACTACCCCATGCAATGATGTCATAAGTTAGATGAGTCTGTGAGATTGACATGTATAATATTTTTAAATGTTCGCTTTTTGGAAAATCTTTAAGCTGTGAACATTTATTAGAGACTCCACCTATTAATAGTCTTTTATTCAATATTATATTATAAAACAACTTAAAAAGTACTATACGTGTTGCATATTATACTTTTTCTACGACCGTTAGTTTTTGGGTACATTTTTCCAAAACAACACGAATATATTCACTAACATGACAGTCAGAATTGACAAACGTCAAAATGAAATGAAAAGGTGTTTTTTTTGGGATATTGGCATTACAAACACTGCTAACAAAATTGCAATTTAATGTATAAGTCTTAGTATATTATGCAACAAGTGTAGTAAACGGCATTAATTTTTTTGTAATAAACGTTACCGTTACCTTTACTTGACGATGACGATTATATTCATTGATACGACCGTTAGAAAACATCCGATTGCTTCCAAACATAACAGCTACTGTAGATTTTGAGTGTTTCTCATCCCAAAATCTACGCTGAGTACTAAAGAATTTCTTTCTTTTTGTCGAAGAAAAATCGTATATCTGAATAAATGGAATCATGGCGAGATACAGCAACAAATGTGTTTTATATGATAAGAATCTATTTACATCTTTGATTGTTTCATGTTACATTAATTTTTATTTGCAAAGTTTTAGTCAACTGTTTAGTATCTGCTCGTATATTTTTGTTTTAGAATCTTCCTGTAGCAAATGGACAATTTGTCGAAAAGGGAACGAAAAAAGGACAGCACTCAAAGCTTTTGCTCCCATTCAGTTTGTTCAAGGACGCAAAGGTCAAAGATATACGTATAAACAAAATGAGAGATAGCAAATGCAAATGCTAGCGTTGAAAATCAGACTAGCAGTGCGTATTTCCAATGTAACTGAACCTCGACATTTACGATACGACGATAAGGAAAGTGTTAGTGAATAAAACTAACGTTTTTATCCCTTTTAGCCGACGGAAAAGCTTACCTTTCTGAAATTTCCTCAGCGACCAACTCGACGACCTGAAGTAAACATTGTCGAACTCCAAATCGACCTGTTGCTTCTTGGGGAACTTGTACTGGACGGTATCTTTGACCATCGCGACGTCGCTAACGTTGAGTTTCGGCAAACCGACACAAGAGTTTTTTACCTCGCACAAGACGTCGTTTTCGCTGGAATCGTTGGAACCGAACGACTCATTGCTCTGGCAACACTTCAACGCCGATCCCGATGACTTATTTTTATCTTCTTTGTTGGACATTGCGACGCGACGGACATTAACAACTCATCCTGCAAGCAACAGTTCTGCGTTAACCGCGCGTTTCCTGAGCTATCTATTACGGACTCCAACGCACAACGACCGTTAACGTAACACTAACGCGGTCGACTGTCGATTGTCTGTTTTTATAGAGGAGCATAGCGGTGTGGCTTCTCTGATTACGTTTCATGATTAATACGATACGTCACTGGGAATCTCGCCTCTGTTCAAATGAGCCCGCCGGAACGCGTACAAAGCTTGTAGTGCGTCGTTCATTGCGTACGAAAATGGTATCCGTTAGAGATTGTTACTTCTTTTAAATCTGTAACCTTAGTAAGCAAAATTCTGCTCTCTAAGTAGAAAATGTATGGCAGATGAAATCGGGGAAATACTTGTCCGGATTTTCGCAAGTGACAAAAATTTAGCTCCTTCAAGATATCGATTTCAATTATGAAAAAGCATAAAAAAGGACGTGGCGTTGGGCCAAAAGAATTTTTGATTGAAGATCAAATATACACTCCAAATTTGCCCGCGAATTTTACAGAAACATCAACAGTAACAATTAAACAAGTTACCAACGTGAACTGTGAATTTACAATATTTATTAATGTTAGGTCAGTTTTGTCAAACCTCAGCCCTTTCCATGTCAGTACATTAACCTGGTAGTTTTACAGTCAATTGCTTGGAATATTAGTTAAATTCTCTAGTTAAATCGCTGTAAAATCACAGTTTCATGCAAAACCTGTGACGCAGACACGCGCCATCTTAACTTTCGAACTTATAAGTATTTAACGGGAATGATCAAAGTTTATTTATTTTATTATTATGATAAGGAAGAGGTAGGTAATACGAATTATTGTTATATAAGGTTAATATTATTTATATCATAAAAACGAAGATATAACCCTCACCTTTACCTTCATCAGTATAATGCTACTAGAAAAACATTTAGTTGTTTATATATTGACTGCTTTTAGCACATATTTTTGGAGTTCACATGGCCAAAAATAGCGTAAAAGTGGGTCAAAATTTACTATTAGTTATAATTTTAATTTTAAGTGCAATTTTACAACTGATAGTTTCCAAAGTGAATATTATTATATATATATATATATATATATATATATATATATATATATATATATATATATATATATATATATATATATATATATATATATATATATATATATATATATATATATATATATATATATATATATAATGATGACACTATACTCCGGGATATCATCCGTTCGCTCGTTGAACTCCGACTGGAATCCTGCATCCGACTGGAATCCTGCAAATCCTGCATCCGACTGGAATCCTGCAGACGTTTCGCCAAAATCTCACTTGGCATCTTCAATGCTCGCGCTCCGAAAACGGTGTTCGAAGTGTTTTCGGAGCGCGAGCATTGAAGATGCCAAGTGAGATTTTGGCGAAACGTCTGCAGGATTCCAGTCGGATGCAGGATTTGCAGGATTCCAGTCGGATGCAGGATTCCAGTCGGAGTTCAACGAGCGAACGGATGATATCCCGGAGTATAGTGTCATCACATTTTTCCATCCGTGAATCAATACGTGAGAATATATATATATATATATATATATATATATATATATATATATATATATATATATATATATATATAATAGCGTCGAGTTGATCCAGAGAATTTGAGCATCAGGTACTATTACGCAGGTTAGGAGAATCATCTCTGCAGATTAGAAGGGACATTCATTCTTTAAAATTTCTGTATGGGTAAGGGCTTTTTCAGCGTACGGTCGCCAATTTTATTTGCGAGTGGTAACTTCGTTATTGTTTCAGATATGTCCTATTAAAGAAGATACACTTCGTGAGTATGTGTGTGAGTAATAAGCTTCCTTTAAATACGTGTGCGATTGCGATAGTTTTCTTATGTTTTGTGCAGTATTTTTATTATTTTTCTCTTATTTATATATGTTCTGTATTTGGGTGTAAACTTGTTGAAATAAATTTGCTTATTATTTAAATTTCTATTGTCGTTAGAAGATTTTGTTTTTTTAAAAGCTTCTGCCGTGATTTACGTTCCAATCCAGAACCTTGTGTAAAAGTTGTGTAAATTTGGCATGTTGTTTATTGATATTTTTATCACCGTTATTCTAGGAACAAACAGTTTTGATATGCTGTATGCCTTCCCCTCCGTTCCCCATAAATAATTAAGATAACAATTACCAACATTTCAAGGTTTCTGATAAATAGCGTTTACACTGTTTAAAAGTCGTTTAATGCGCCCCATTAGGTCACTAAACAGTAATATAAGAATAAAAGAAACTGTTAAAATTGAGTAAGCAACGACTGAAAGTAGAGGTTTACTAACCAAAACAGAAAATCACTATTAATAGAATAAGACAAATTATGTGACGTCGAGGACGTTATTATTTATGTATAATAATAATTATATTTATTATTCCAGTAAACTACTTGTAGCAACGCTGTTGTCTCTGAACTCTATTAGTGTTGCATTAAAGAACGATATTATTTTCGAAATCTCATCGTGAGCTAACCGAATGCTCAGTACTATGCGCTTTGCAATCTCCCCTCCCAGTTTCGCAAAACTTCATAGTCAGCGGCAAACTTTGGTAAATACAAAAATTTGTACAAATAATAGCGATTTCCAATGATATTTTGCCAAATATCTCGCGCACCCTGTATGATAGATAAAACCTGAAACTCTCTCTGTCGACACAGTTTGCGATACTGTTTAAACCAAATCATCCCATGTTTTAGTGTTTTCGTTTACGGCTAATAAGTTACCCACCACCCAATTTTCAGGATTTTTTTGTCTTTTTTCCCATAATCGACATACCCTGTACATAATCCAAAAAATGCCCCCAACAAAAATTATAGCCTTCGATCTGCCACGTTTCCTGGTATATGAATTTTTCCGATAGAATAAATGGTTTTCGAGAAAATACTTGTTTTCTGAAACCATGCCGTAATAGTAAATGACATCATCGCGTCTAGATTGAGTGCAAGATATAGCGACTGTCACATGCACTTTTTCAAATATCTCGAGACGCCTGTATGATAGACGAAAACCATAAATACAAAAATTGTAGGCCTCGATGCTACCTTTATTACTGTGAAAAGCGAATGGCCATATTTTTCATGAATTTTGATTTGCGGCTAATAATAATTTGATGAGAGCCTCTAAAATTTTTGTCTATAATTGAAAAGCCCAGTAATATAATCGAAAAACTGATTGAAATAAGAGTTACGGTCCCCAATCTCCAGGATTTTCCGGTTCACAAATTTTGCCCATTTGGTTAATAGTTTTCGAGAAAATAACGTTTTTCCGGAAGCTAAAGTATCCACAAAAAAAATCAAAACTAAAAAAAATACTTCTCGGTATTTGATTGAGTCCTGTTTCAACAGTTATAATAATAGATAATAGTAGACTTCTACTTATCTGCCAAATCTGAAGTCGATTGCTGCAAATTTAATACACCTGTTAATGTTTCAATATGGCATGGAATATCCTGAACACTCTGTACAATAGGCGAAAACCTTAAATACAATAGTTTTAACTGTTTATTGGGGATATATCGTCATGTAATAGGAACTGAACACAGTATTTTAGTTATAGCCAATTTCACTGGTCTGGTCTATTTCTTTTATTCATGATTTCATCATATTTTGTGCTCTGAACACGGAATTCAATAGGAAAGTACAGCTCATAGATTTTGAATAAAATGTCCATTTAATTGAAAAATGATATTATTAAAGTAACAACAATTATAAAAAATATTACTGTCTAAGTTTTACAGTGAAAAATGCTAATTTTATTTTTAGAAGTTATAAAGATATCAGTAAATATATCTCATTATGGTTCTAAAATACAAGTTACTTTGTAGTTTTTTTCTTTTCATCGTTTCCATCGGAGTTTTTCAGTGGTATCGACCAACAGAAATCAGCAAGCATTGCTGCTGACCATTTCCCATTGTAGCGCCCTTTCAAATTGCATAATATCCTGATGAAACCTCTCACCATTCTCATCTGATACGGCACCGAGGTTTTCAGGCAAGAAATCTACATGAGAGTCCAAAAAATGAATTTTAAGTGACATTTTGCATCATAAAACTTTATAAGCAGAGAGAAACTCTCGAATAATTTGTCAGTAGTTGTCAGCTTTAGTATTCCCAAGAAAATTATGACATACATTTACAAAAGCCATCTAAGCTCTTTTTTTCGGCTTTGTTCAACTTCGAATTAAAAGCTCCATCCGTCATAAACTCGCGTATTTTCGGACCTACCAAAATTCCTTCTTTCAAGGGGGCAGAAAAATTTTTGTCACTTGGCACTAGAGGTTTATGAGATATATTTTTGAGTCCAGGAGTCAAGCTTTTTCTTTGTGGTCAAGTTTTTACTTTGTAATGATTTTCTCTTGCGCAGCTATCAGACTCGCATATAAAACAACAGAACTTGGTTTATCCTCCTAGTAATCCAATAAATATAGCGACAACTTTTAAATCAGCACAAATATTCCATAGGTATTGAGAATATTTTATTTTTTCAAGTAATACCTCTAGATTTGCATAATTTGTTTCATGTTTGTTACATGTGCAACGGGCACTATGGAGTAAAAATTCCATTCATCAGAATTTTCCGCAACACTAAGTTCTTGGAGAAGCCCGGCAGCATCATTACAATATACTAAATCATCTTCTTTGGAAAAGTAACTCGTGAAATGTTGTTTAGTGCGAAAATATGAGACTTTTGGACTTTTATCCAACAAATTCGACTATTTTAATCTTGATCCGAGTAATTGTGCTTTAGATTTTGATAGCCCCAAATATGTAACAAAACTATTTAACTCGCATTATTTAAGTAAATGAGGTTCTTTTGATGAACTTGAAGATCCAGATAAAGTGTATGAAGGTGAAGATGTTCAGACAGACATAAAACTCGATTGAGGCTGTAGACCGGAAGTATTTTTATTTTCCATCTTTTCGTTATATCTTGGTGGAACTGGAGGTAAAGTGCCTTCACCACAAGGAATTGGTCCCTTTGCAGATGCCATGTTCAGATGTATAATCTTATTTTTATTTTTTTTTCAAGAATTCTCGTGTGAATGATAACA